ACAACATCTCCGCCGAGGAACTTTTAGCAACACACTAACAATAATAAGTAGTCTGGTATAAACTGAAAATTACCTTGCAACTCGACAACAAGTTCGTTGTTTTCCTTCAGTTCTTGTTGAGTATCATTCAATTGCCCTACAAACAAAATAAATAAATAAATCTGAGCGATTGTCTCAAGAACGACTTCTCCTTCATGAGTTTTCTGGTAACCATTAAAAATTGGCTCCTGTGCAGGAGAAAAATTGTTAGATGCCTTTTTCACACTTCGGGAGGGAAATTACCGAATTGAAGAGGTAGCTCGTGTCACTACATTGACGCTCTTTCAACAGCGAAATTAAAAACTCCTAACTTAAGCGATTCTCGATTAGCAAGTGATCTCTTCTGCTGCCGATGGCGATAGGCATACTTTATTTACCGCCGCTGAATACAGCTAAAAAATATTCCTCGAGAAGTGGTATGCCATTTCTCGAAAACAAAAACAAAACAAAACAAAAAAACAAAAAAAAAAAACTCTTCACATAAAATATATAGTTGAATTTTGCATCTCTTACTCAGTAACAATCCTGTCAACATGTTTACAACAGCAAATCCGAAAAGGAATTGCCGCTTTAAAAAGCTACACATGAAAGTAAAAGAGTTAAAAACGTCACAGATACGAGGAATATTGGACCGGCTTGTCACGGTTGACGTATGTTTCCTTCTGATGTAATAAACCGCAAGAGTTTACAAACCTTGCATATGCTGCGACTCTTCATGTTCATTGTCGATGATTCTTCCAATTTCAATGAATTCCCCTGAAGATTACAACAAGCTTCAAGTCAATAAAATTACAAGTTCGAGAAATTTTAAGATTTACTATTGGACACGCGACTATTAGTCAACCTTCGTTGTGGCTTTCACCCTTTGATGCCTAAAATCTAAAAGCCAATTTGCCCAATTATGATTCCTCTTAACCTACCTTATTTATTTAACCATTTAAAACAACATGAAGCCGAAATGTACTACTTCTCACAAAAAAAAAAAAATGACAAAAATACAACGATTTTTTTGACAAAACAGTGTTGCTCACACTAACGCTTATCAAAGCATGTCAGGAAATGGTAAAAACTTTGTGATATAAATATAATTACAAGATAACGCATTAATATTAATAGCGACATATGTTGTAACGATAAATGCCAGACCAATAAGAGTGTACGAATCTATATATTAACAAAGGCTGATAGTTTCTAAAGAAACTGTTTGGGGCTGCGTCGGTGGGGGTAACGAAATAATATGAATATATCAACAAAGTTGAAATGGTAAATTGGCCACCGTTGCGATTATAAAAGCTGACGTTTCGAGCGTTAGCCCTTCGTCGGAGCGAAGAACTATATATTTAACAATTATTCCACGAGCGCGCGTTGGATATGAGATGATAGATAGCCAACGAGGCGCGTAGCGCCGAGTTGGCTATAATCATCTCATATCCAACAAGCGCGAGTGGAATAATTGTTTTATTAAAAACGTTAAATTAAATCATTAAATTTTATTAAATTTTTAGCTCCCTTTTAATTTTAAGCTGACACGTACGCTTGCCATATTTGTAGATTATGGTATATTGGCTGATATACCATAATGGCTAAGCCAATAAAAAGTCTTGAATTGCATTATCCAATGATCTAGTTTTTAATAAATATATATATCACATGTGATATATCAAAACTTTTATATATAAACAACAGAACTTGACCCCAATTAAGGTAATCGTTTAGTTCTTAATTGAGGATATCTGAGACATTTGACGGCTAACAGTGGCTCGCTTATTTGACGATTGACGGTAAAAACATTGCGTTTTTGACGGTTGACGGTTAATACTTTGGCCCGATTTGACTCGTTTGGAAAAAAAGACTTCCACTGCGCTTGTGTATTTCCCTTTCCTCGCGTTTGCATTGAACGTGTGAACTTGCTTACACTTGCATTTGCATTTACGTTTGCATTTGCATCGCACATGTGAACTAGGCCTAACAATGACGAGAAATTAGAAGTTAAGGGATTAAAGTTCTGGATGTAAACATCCATATATGTGTATCGACAAGTTATGCGGCAACTTTTGCTTGTTTTCTCTGATTATTATGAAGGATAACTGATCAATAGAATTCCCTTTTTTTCGTTAAATCACATTTCCTGCAAGGTATTTTAGTTTAATTGACGTCACTAAAAGTTCTTCTTTGTTGACTCTGAGTGAAAACGTCTGTGCAGGAAGTGTTTGAACTTTGACGTAGCCCTTAGTGTTGTGGATCGTTGTCGTTAAGCTGGGGCCGGGCAAGAGGCTAGGGTATGCATAATAAAAAATAAACATGTAAATTATATAAATTCACAAACGACCTAAGTATCGTGCTTGGGTCGGTGCAACCAGGCTATAACTTGAATCACATGTGCTCAGTTCGGTTCGGCGTTAACCGCTGCGACGACTTCCAAAACTACCCGTCACAAACAAGCCCTCACTTGATTTAAAACCGAAAATTTGACCGTACTATTCCCCGGTGTGAAGTTTGCAGTGGGACCTTTCGTATCACTCTTTTTCAAGAAATATCTAACTCACTTTCCGTCGAACTGTTTAGAGGTAATCATTGAATATCATCGGACCTGAATTGTATTCGGTGGTCAGGGTGAAACGAGTTGAGGCCGACACGAGAGTATGAGTCAGACTCAAGGGTTTGCAAATAAAAACAATGAATTTTCTTTCTTCCTATGTACGCGCATCGAATAAATTAGCGCCCTTTCGGCCTTGGTAGTATTGTGTATACCGAAATGATTATAAAGTTTCGACGCAATGGCTTGACAACAACCGGCTAGACAATGCTATAAATACGGTTAACGTTGCCGAAATCAAGCCATATAGCTGGACTATGTGTTACTGAAAACGAAAACGGCTCTGAATGGCGTACGCTGATCGCATGACTACCATTTGAGTTTCATAATCTCTCGCTCTACGTGAAGATACATGCATAATCCTTTATCACAAACACCTCATATGCATGGCTAACACACATGTAAACTTCTTTACTTTTTTCTCTCTAGAAACTAAAATCCTTCAGTTATTTTTCAATTTCTTACCGCCTCGCTAATTTTCCTAGCTCTGCTGTCTTTTCGATAACTCATCTTCCGATCTGTTGGCATCTAACGCGGCGTTCCGTTGTCTTTAACGAATGTAAATAACTTGGAGTTATTAACTTCTTCAAATACAATACTCCTGGTCAATATCTGGCCCTTGTGACGTCATCAAGAGTCTTTGTGTTTGTTACTGTGATTAGAGTCTCGTTAGTGTCGGGCGATAATAATCAGAGGCCTCTTTAATAGTAACAACCCGTATTTTTTGTTTGTGGCAACTTGGTCAAAATGGAGCACAAATTAAAAGCGTGAAAGAGTGAGTTACCTCCCTTAGGAATAATCTCTGATAATAAGCGGGCAGTTTTTTTATTTATTTATCAAACCAACATTTTCCGTATAAGTTGGAGTCGTCCCCTAAATAACCAGCCTGTGTCCGGGTAAAGGAGCCCTTCACCTTCATTCAAAACGGATTTCCGTGCATGTACAGGGAGGATAAAAAAGCGGGTTTGTCGCAATGCAAGAAACTTTAAGTTTTTCTTTGTCTTGTTAAAATTATTTTCCTTGGTTCTATCGCTTTCCCTTATTTGCTGTCTTCGGTTTACGTCACCCGCGAAAGTGGCAGGTTCCTCCACCGAGGAGGAGCAGAATAGCGCGCAAGTATGGAACGGTAACTCCACAGTGATTCTGGCTATTGAACCTTTTACATCCTTAAAATCAATATTTGCTATGAAACGTTTCGTTGTGTTGTATTGCTGAGTATTTTTGCGAGTCGAGCCCGAAGGGCGGGTCAAAATACAAACAACGAGTCAAAATACTCAGCGATACTACACAACAAAACGTCTAGTCAGTAAGAGATTTATTATCCAATACGCCAAATTGTTATCTCAGTGCGAGAGATTTCTCTCGATGTTCTCTGGAGTACAAATACCGCGCGATGTTTGTACTCGTCTTGGGTGTTATTTGTACTCTACGAAGCACAATTGGATAATAAACATGCACATTCTTCATATTGTTCTTAGTATATTTCCTAAGTGCTGACAAGAAAATTTGTTTCATAACCGAGAGCGTCTTTACTTGGTGTTCATTTCCTTTATTCTCGCGACCTTTTTGTTTGGTTCACAGATGATACTGTAGGTTGAAATTGGATGCTTGTCACTCTTATTGTTAAAGGGCTGAATTAGGCGATCGACTCGTTACAACTACTATTGAAATAAGTGATGGAAATTTATTCATCCACAAGAAAAAAAAATCTACAAAATACCCCACAGACATGTAACACGCGGAGCCATTAAAATAAACATTTCATACAAATAGAACTCTGTGTAGTAGTGATCGCTTTTCTTCTTTGAAAAACTTTCCAGTCCATGAAGTGTTAAAGTTTACTTCATCATCTCGTTGACAAACTCTGCGAAAAATTTCAATGAGAGCACAATTAGTTAAGACCCTAGTTTTGACTCCTGCTTTAACTCGCAGGTTCACCAAGATATAATAACAATAATGGCGGCTAAACAAATAAAAAGATAAAGCGATAAGGAAGATATGGAAGTTTCAAACTCTTTTTAACGAGACGAGCGGGTTAAGACCAACTCGAGGATAGATAGCAGAGCGGTTAAACGTCGGTCAAAAGCGAGGGGATCAATTTTGGCTGCTCGCGCGCCAATTCCCCGCGCAAATTTTAAAAGGGAAAAATCAGAAACGATCGCTATATCGTAAAGATTGATGTTGAAAAATATTCTAGGAGTAACAATAAATCTATTTCACCATGTGCAAAGTTTCGCTTCAAAATTCCCAGCATGCTAGACGCGCGTGAAAGTAACGCAACGTAAAGCGTGACAGAACAACAACGATCAACGGAGCTCAAACGTTTTGAGTTTCGATACATTCGGCTACATCACACCAAATATATTTCTTTCGAAACACTTACTATCGAAGTTGACCCGTCCATTTCGCTCCATGAACTTAACCACCTCCTCTATTTCTTCTTTAGAGATCTTGATGTCTTTGCTTTGTTTTTGCACGGCCATGAGCAATTTGAGCAGCTCGTCGCTTGTGAAGTACCCCTTGTTTTCAGTGTCGTAGGCTTTAAAAGCGTCCCTCACCTCCTGTTCACTGCCTTGCTTCATCTGTTTTACCATAAGTTCTGCGAACTCTTCGAAATCGATTTCGCCACTACCTGAAGATATGGTTATAAAGTGATAAACTAGTATCGCAGAGGTCAGTGGTTCGAATCCCGTACAGGCCTGATTTTTTCAGGTCTGATTTTCGCTATTGCATAAATAGCACTCTCTACTGCGAGGATTGTGCATCATACGTATCTAATACCGCAGTTCAAAATATATTTACTTACCATCTTCATCGACTTCCGACAGCATTTCCTTCACCTCTTCCTTAGTGGCCATCATCCCGAGGTTCTTCATGACGAGAAGCAGTTCATCTGTCGTGATCGTCTCGCTATTATCAACATCGAAGATCTTGAAGGCTTCTCTGAATTCTGGAAAAGATATAGAATGGCAAGGATTCTACTCAGTTCACGGTGAGTACCTTAATCATGTGTTTTCTTCACATTTTTTTTTTCAGCCTCGAATAAGCGCCCAGCCTGGACGAACCCAACTACCATTGGGTTCGTCCCACCACTCCTGTACGAGTTGCGTGACAACCCGACAGTTAGTGGAGAAATTGCGTGACAACTCGAAAATTGGTTTTGGAATTGCGTGACACTTCGACATTACGCGTTTCCGGCTGAAGAACGTGAAAAAAGCTTTGCCCCCAGACACCTGATGAGTGCTCCCACAAACTGGACTACAAGGAACATGCTGGCAGCGAGGCAAATTGTATGAATTAAGTTATCTTTGACATTCTTCTTGGAACATACAAGTTACATATAATAATTGTTCTTACAGCTCGCCTAACGTGAAGCAACGAATATGAGTATGAAATATAGTAGCCTGCAGAGCAGGCGTTCTAGTGGAGTTTGGGCGAAAATTAGACCGCGCGAAAAATGGAGCGAGGCGAAAAATTAGGAGGTGGGGGGAGGGCGAGAGGAGAAATATAGAATGCAAGATAGAAATATAGCGGAAATGACAGCCTAATGACCTTCATCGGGACATATCAAGTACAACATTGGTAATAAGGTCCATGTTTGGCTGTACTTTTTAAAAAAATATAACAAAGAATTACACTGCACATTTTGATCTCTATTACCATAAGAACCTCTCCTTGGAACAAATGTCCAAGCTCATGGCGAAAACGAACGCAAATTTAACTCTTGCTCTTGCTTACCTTTCAGCTGCTCTGGAGTCAGTGATGCCGACTGAAACAAATGAAAGAAATATCAGTCAACCTAACTGTGTTAAGCACCCAGGAAGCTTAAAATTTCTGGACTTTCAGGATGGGCGCTTATTCGAGGTGGGCGCTTATTCAAGGCTGGGCGCTTATTCGAGGCTGAGCGCTTATTAAATTTTCCCCATTTTTTTGCGGCTGAAAGAACTTTGCGTCCACATGGGCATTTCAGTTAAAACTTTGAGAAAAATTCCAACGTTGTCATAAAAATTTCAGACAATGAAACTAGAGATTGTAAGCCATTAAAAAAATACCGTAATAATCATTACGCGTATTCCTCTTGCACAGTTTAGTATTATAATTTTTTTTTTTGGAGGGGGCTTATTCGAGGTTGGGCGCTTAAAAAGTACTTTTTGGGGGTGGGCGCTTATTCGAGGCTGGGCGCCAATTTACTTTTTCTATCTTTAGGGTGGGCGCTTATTCGAAGTGGGCGCTTATTCGAGGTTGGGCGCTTAATCGAATAAATACGGTACTTAGTCACGCAGCAGATGTCACGCCACGCTACAGCAATAAAATTAGCAAATGTGAATTAAAGCCGTATGATTGCTAACGCGTTTAAATCTTAAGACAAACCGAACCATATGACTGGTAACTAAAAGCAATTTTGCAGAAACGATCAATGAAACTTAAAATAACTTGGACGCAGATTGCACAAGTCCATTAGAATAAGAAAAAGCTAAAGCAAAGTAAATCGAGAATAAAATTACGATAACCTGCATTAATTTCATCGCGAATAACATTTGGATATGAATTTAGAGACTTTTCTTGTAGAAGCTGGGATTTAACGCTTCGAATTCATCGTAATCAAATTTCAGTGTTGTAGAAGTCCTAGGTGTGTGATAGAAATGTTTGCTTTTCGCTACGTAGATTATCAAATCAAGCGGCCAAGCGTGATCTTTTACGACGAATCTGTCTTCCAATGATTCACGGCTGTGGTGGCCATGTCAGCGATCACAGCGGCACTCGAGAAATGACGCAAATATAAACAGACAAATTTTGATCGACACACAAATTCATTGACCGTGTCGAGTAACTTCAAAGTAAGAGGTTTTTTAAAACTATATGCCGGGGCACCTCTCAAAAAATCAGAGAGATCTTCTTCTTCGGGCTGTTAGAGTTGAAATTAGGAAATGATTCGAATGCAGTAAATGCTCGCAAAATAAGGGAAAAACACGCCAAATCTACTTCAGCTGCATTGTTTACATTCCTAACGGACCATTGCATTCTGAGGAGTTGAAGTTTGCTGTTCGAAATACAGCTGATAGTTCAGCTGGCTGTTTTCTAATCACTGAACCTCGTAAAATAGCAGTTGATAGACAAGAGAAGAAATTAGAGCGAGTAAAATGATTAATTATTAGAGTAAGAATAAAAGCGAGGATTCGGAACGGAGGATTAGTACAAGGCGGTGGATAAACAACCACTGAAGGACATAATTCGGTCTGTTGTGAATTTGAATCTCTCTGATTAGTGGAAATTAATCCTCTACTTCTCCAAATACGAGGATGACAACGACATTTAGCAATAACTCTACAAATTTGTTAGTTCAAAGGCTTTACGCATCGGGAATATCAACATACATCGTCATATCCACAACCATGAAACTTTCGGTTGAAAGTGACTGAACTTACAACTGACAGAACGCGGAGTGTAAAGTGAAATACCTTCAAAATAACAAGTAAGATTCACTCACCATTTTGCTGGTCGACGATAAAATCGATTAATACTGATTTACACAAAAATCGCAGCTAATCGCAGAAAGCGAAGTGAGTGAGTGCAACTCAGAACAGGAACAATGAAATAACAAAAATTCCCAACCCTAATTCCAGCTCATTGTGTTTCACGTTACGTGATAAATAGATAATTGCTCTGTTCTCCCGACCATCCCTTGTATATTGTGTCTCACAGGGGTAGGGGGGCGTGTAGAAAATTTGCAAGTTTCAATCCCCTAATACCTCAAAACAAAAGCCTTTTGTATCTCAAGTTAGGGAAAGACGCTCTAAAACCGCGATTTACAAGAAAAATATTCCCCTTTCACCGACAAAAACGTAGTCTGTTTGCAAAAATGTGTTTACTACTTGGTGCGGGACCCGACCCTTCCTAAATTTCCATTGTCGAATTGATATAATTTCCGTAACGCAATGGCTTTTCTCACTGAATCTGTTCGTAGCAACTCGTCTTTTATTTGGTTACTCGTCTCCTGTGAACGTTCAGTAATTTGCAAACGCAATCATACTTTTTTCCATTGGTTCGTTCTGTCTCTAATTTGCGACGAACGCCATAGCAGAAAACATGTTTGAAATTTCAGTATTCGTGACTCTTTGACGACAGTATTTTTAAACCGATTCAATAGTTTACCATATATAGGCATTGAATTGGCACAGTTTGCAATAATTGACTTAAGCTCTGGGGTTTTGAAACCAATACACAAAGGATCATGAACTCGAATTGACTGCGTGCGACTATGTACTTCTCAGGGAGAAGATGGTTCTTATAAAAGGCCATTCATGAAAACGTTAGAAAGAAATAGATAAATAAATGAATAGGAATTTTAACACCAAAACTTTTTTTGTAAAATTTGATTGCTGCTGGAGTTGTCATGAGATTACCGACTATAAGCACCCTTCTTTAAATAGCCTAGTCTTGAACTAGTTCGAGACCCAAAGTCAAAACGCAGAACATTACGCAAGGTCGGGCACGTTGACCCAAGTGTAGGCCAAGATGGGTCTAAGTATGAAATTAGAGCAAGCAAATCTGAGGGTAGCCTTGGAATGAAATATCAGGAATCGTACCTAACTAGAGGGATATATAGTTTATTGAGGCTTTGAAATGACAACACTACCACTGCTCATGCACTGACAAAATTTTATATTAAAAAAGAGAACAAAAGCGGAGCCGCCATTATGAAGGAACTTTGAATTGAATACTCTGTGATTTTCTTTTTTTTTTTTTGCCTAAGATAGACAGTCTTATTCAAGCCAAGAACGTTTTTAACGATACCCTGAGCAGGTCTGAGCAGTTTACAGGAAAAAAATGTATTTGATTCTATGACTAGAAAGCTTTTTTTTTTTCAGCGAAATGCATCAAGTTCCGACGGTCTTTAACATGAACCAGTTAAAAACGAAAGCCAAAGATATTTTTTTTTACCTTAATATTTCAAGTTAACCAGCAGACACAGAAAAAAGAATCTTGAACATATTCCAGGAGCTTGTTCCAGGAGCCTAGTCAAATCAGAATATGATTGGTCAATCGATAAATTAATGTACAGGG